TTTTTCAGTATTGACACACCCTTGGCTCAAACCTTATTAATGTGAAGGCTGCACGTATGACACAGAGCATCAGGGATGGTATCGTGGAATCGGAAGGGCCACGTCTAGTAGAAATTTCCTGACGTGGATGTGGTTGTTCCCGTCCTTCTGCCAAGTCAGCAGGTTCTCTCAGGGTGGCAGGGTGAGACATCCTCAGTCCTGTTGCAGCAACCGCTGTATTGCCAATCCATAATAACCATTTCTAGAGGTTGTTCACCTAAATTTCATTCAGTCTATTTGATGCTTTAAGGTCCAAAGCTCTGTGGCAGTCTGCTGGCTCTAAGGACTGAGGGGAGGTAGAACAACGGAGAAATAAAGCTTAGATGTTCAATAGGTACCTAAGTGAGATGCAGAAGTGTCGATGTAGCTAAAATCGATATCGATATTCAAAGCTGCTGTAAGCAGTTCTAAGAACATCAAAAAGACATTAGATAAATACGCCAAATGCCCGTTGAACATTTACTATCTATCATTTCCTGAGTCTAACTCTTCTTCCTCACCCTCCTCTAATAATTTGTGCTCTAAATTAGCTCACAGCAAGATAAAAATTAAAAGTGTAACCCTAAACATAGAAGACTGGCCCTGCAAATAGTTTTGGATATTTTGGATATTTTACTTAGAGCTGATCAGAGTTTTTCTTTTTTGAAACAACTTATGTATAGAATAAAAATTATTTTAAAGAACAAAACATTGTTCAGTTTTGCACAATTCCTTCACAAAGTCAGGGCACTGTAAAAATAAAGATCTCATCACTGCACTATCATCTTAGCTGTGTTGCATGCTATTATGCTATACATTTTGCCGTATAGTAATCCATAACATCCTCTGAGAGGTGCCTACTGCTTATGAAGAATTTAAGCTGTTTTGGAACCAACACTTTTCTTTGTGCTCTGAAGTCTAATAGAAATCAGTGGGAGGTATGTGCGTCTAAGGCAAAGAATAAGAACCTTAAATTTTAAAGCCAGTTGTTGCCTGTTGGCAGACAGTGAAAAGAACAGAATGAAAAGTCTGTGTTTTTCTTTTTTTATTAAAGATAAACCCATACCCTTTTTCGCTTCACCTTGTTCCACAGGACTGTATGGGACTAGATCTTCTGCTGATTATGTCTGCTTTTAATTGTTTTGCACGATCAAAAGATTTCTGAGAGCAAGCTTGTAGTTTAACAATGCAAATGGAGAGGTATACAATTTTGAAAGTATAATCAAACCACAACATCTACTCAGATAATAAGCGCAGATTCGTTCGTTTTAAATTCTTCAGTTCAGCCATCTGTTGTTGTGTAGACTCAGCAAGACAGGAATGATGTAAAACTAATATATCTTGATCAAAAGACCAAAAGGCACTATTTTCCCTTCAGAGAACCTGCAGTGTTTTAGGAAAAGGTGCCTTCGTTCCGTCTTGTGGCTTGTGCCTTCTGTGGCAGTCACAGTAGAGGAGACAGATACACCTTCATAGACGAAAATATTTGTTCCATAGTATGGGTTGAATTATTTGTGAAAGTTAAAGGGATGAAATAGAAATGTGACCAAAAAAAATGATATATTTATTCAGTCTTTCTGGAAAGTGGCCTGCATATGTAGTTGGCTGATGTAAATGAAGAAAATCCTTCTTGCTCTTTTTGAGTTTTTTGAGATTCGGTGGTCCAATGGGTAAATAAGGAAGTGGTAACTTCACCTTGAATTAAATAAGCTAGAAAGATGACATGCATTGCTTCCATGATTTAATGCATCTTTTGCAAAAGACATATTATACTTTTAATATGTTGCTTATAATACAAGGCTCATATACTTATAGGGCTCATATAATATAAGGCTCATACTTATTTCATGCATTATTTTAATTTTTATTATAAATGCATTATCAGTAAGTAAAAGTGTGAATACTTGAATCAGGCTTCTTATCTTGGAATGAATGTGAGTTTGTCCTAATATAAAAATATGTAGTTTATTACTAGGAGCAAGTTTAAGGGAAAATCACTGGAAAAAAAATCATTAAGATATTTTTTATCATTCAGTTTATGATACTTAAACTTGTACCTTTTTAAAAAAAGTTTTTTGTAATATAGCTATAAAATTGTGATTAAAAAACAATGTGCAAATTTTCAAGCTAAAATCAGAACGATTACTTGTAAAAAATAATTTTTACATTTCAGTTTTTCACAGCTTTCATAATGATTTATCCAAAATTCTTGAAATTCTTACCACCTTCTGTTGATAAGAATTCTCTTGTTCTGTCTTCCGTTGTTTGGAAACAGTTTCTATAAAAATGGAAATATTTCAATTTAGGAATTTTATTAACAAGTACATTATATAAGTAACCATTTAAGGCAATTATTATTACATAATCAATTGTTAGAGAAAATCAGTGTATGTTTAATTTAAACAATAATTTGTTCATTTTAGCTCCATAATGCATAGTCTGCTGTGACCCTAAATTAGGAGTCCCTACTTCCAAAAGTAAT